AATGAAAATTCTGTCATTAATTACTCACCCTCATGTCGTTCTAAACACCTCCGTTCATCTTCGGAACACAAATTGAGATATTTTTGATGAATTCTGAGAGCTCGCTGACCCTCCCATAGACAGCAATGTAATTACCACGATTAAGTTTCAGAAACGTAGCAAGGAGATCGATAAAATCTTCCATGTGACATCAGGGGTTCAACCGTAATTTTACGGCGCTACGAGAATACTTTTTGTACACAAAAAAAACAAAAATAACGACTTTATTCAACAATTTATCTCCTCCGCGTCACTCTGGTAAATTTTGGAGAGTATCCACTGAACGTAACCAGCGTATGCTATTCTGTGTCAGCTGCGTCACGCAGACGAAAAAAACTTATCCGCGTGAACCCCTGATGTCACATGAATTATTTTACTGATGTCCTTGCTACGTTTCTGGGCCTTAATCGTGGTAATTACATTACTGTCTATGGGAGGGTCAGAGAGCTCTCAGAATTCATCAAAAATATCTTAATTTGTGTTCCGAAGATGAACGGAGGTCTTACGGGTTTAGAACGACATGAGGGTGAGTAATTAATGACAGAATTTTCATTTTTGGGTGAACTATCCCTTTAATCATGATCCAAACATAGACACCGCTGCTTATGAACAGCAACGATACAGTGTTTCCTTGGTTACCATTGCTTATGAACAGCAACGATACAGTGTTTCCTTGGTTACCGCTGTAAACAAAGCAGCGCTGCGCTTATGAATACTACTTTAATATGCATCATTCAGAGGCAAGATGAAAAGAAAATACCACGTAAACGTTTCTAAAGACAGTTAGTTATACATTCATATAAAGTGTACCTACTATATTTGTATCGCGATTTGTTTAGCATCTCAACCGATTTGAATCGTCACATATTTGAATCTATTTTCAACCGGCTCGCGGTTCATCGTTACATCCCTACAAACCAGATTAGATGGTCAGGCAGGTCAGCTAGTTGAAGTGTGTGTTGTGTTTGATGTGTTTTAGGGTCATATGGAGGGGGAAGTCTGGGGCCTCGCGGCTCATCCGCTGCTGCCCATCTGTGCCACTGTGAGTGACGACAAAACGCTGCGCATCTGGGAGCTTTCAGCCAACCATCGCATGGTGGCCGTCCGGAAACTTAAGAAAGGTTCGTGATTCGCTAACCTCCTGCCACATTTGGAAGATCTCAAATTCAGTATCACAAACAGTTTGGTGTATGTGTGTGTTTGTAGGTGGTCGATGCTGTGCCTTCTCGCCAGACGGAAAAGCCTTAGCGGTGGGTCTAAACGACGGCAGCTTCCTGGTGGTGAATGCAGACACGCTGGAGGACATGGTGACCTTTCACCACAGGAAGGAGATCATCTCTGACATCAGGTTCTCTCAAGGTAACCGTCTGGCATGGGCGGCAGTTTTAGATATTAAAATAGGCTGATAATACATATGTTATTTAAAATACAAATTCCCATTCGAAATATGTGCATGTATCATCATGTATCACAGTAAACCTGGGACGTGTTTCATTATGCAATGCTAACAAGACCTCATGTAGTTTTGTAGCTCCAGAGCTGAGTTTATCTCGTAGGCTTTGACCCACAAATTTGCTCTGCTGCCAAGTTAGTAAAATAAAATAAGTTTTTCCATAATAAAATAAAATGAGTTTCTGTGTGTGTAAATTGAAGAGATCACACAACCCTGGAGGGGTTAGGTGATGTGAAAACATTTATTTTCATCAGAGATGGTTTTTTATATAATATTTAAACATAACTTGATAATATGTGGAGATATGCATGTATAATAGATAATTTGGTCATATGTATATATTAGGGCTGTGAAATCAATTAATTGCATCCAAAATAAAAGTTTGCGTAATATATGTGTGTGTACTGTGTATACAGTGGGTACGGAAAGTATTCAGACCCCCTTAAATTTTTCACTCTTTGTTATATTGCAGCCATTTGCTAAAATCATTTAAGTTAATTTTTTTTCCTCATTAAAAAAAAAGAAAAAAATTACTGACCCCAGACTTTTGAATAGTAGTGTATATTTTAACACAAAATTTCTATTTTGAATAATCACTGTTCTTTTTAACTTTTTATAAATCAGCATATTGGAATGATTCCTGAAGGATCATGTGACACTGAAGACTGGAGTAATGATGCTGAAAATTCAGCTTTGATCACAGGAATAAATTACATTTTAACAGATATTCACATAGAAAACAGATATTTTATATGGTAATAATATTTCACAATATTACATTTTTTCCTGTATTTTTGATCAAATAAATGCAGCCTTGATGAGCATAAGAAACTCCAGTAAAAAACATAAAAAATCGTTCTGATCCCAAACTTTTGACCGGTAGTGTACATGTAATGAAATGGATTTGTATATATATATATATATATATATATTGTAAATTGATAATTATATATAGTATGTATATATATAATGTTAAAATTATGTAAAACTTAAATGAAACAAGTAATCTATAATTAAAAAAAAAAGTTATTTTTTGTTTTTATTGAAGATGCTGGAAAATACCTCGCTGTGGCCTCCCACGACTCATTTGTGGACATTTATAATGTTCTGAGCAGTAAGCGGGTGGGAATCTGTAAAGGAGCGTCCAGCTGTATCACACATGTGGACTGGGACGTCCGCGGTAATCCAGACATACACAAAACACTAATATATATTCAAGCAATAATATGCACGTTAATGCCTCTCTGCATGTGATGAATTAATCCTTGAGTGAAATGAATGGAGAAAACTTTCTGGCCAGCTGTAGCTTGAATAATTTTTTATTAGGAAATAGCGTCTTCTTTATACTTACAGATAAAGAATTTGTATATTATTTATTGGCATTACTATAGGTTATATATTTTAAACATGTGATCCAGATAATCACATAATCAAACAGTTTTTTGTGTGTATTAATGCAGGAAAACTGCTTCAAGTCAACACTGGTGCCAAAGAGCAGCTATTTTTTGAGGCTCCACGTGGAAGACGACAAACTATCAGCAGTTTAGAGGTAAAAAACTACACACAGCCATATATGTGACCCTGGAGCACAAAAGCAGTCTTAAGTCGCTGGGGTATATTTGTAGTAATAGCCAAAAATACATTGTATGGGTCAAAATTATAGATTTTTCTTTTATGCCAAAAATCATTAGGATATTAAGTAAAGATCATGTTCCATGAAGATATTTTGTAAATTTCCTACCGTAAATATATAAAAACTTAATTTTTGATTAGTAATATGCATTGCTAAGAACTTCATTTGGACAACTTTAACCCTTGTGCACTCTTCATTTGGGAGTCACACTCATGGTCTTTGCGGTCAAAAGTGACCGGACACCTGAAATATAACTTTTTTCTTCTTCAGTAAAATCAATCTAATATATTTTTGTTCAATAATATTTTTTCTTTTGTATTTTGAGAGAATTTCTTGGTACTAATTAAAAAATCCAATTTTTGCAGGCAGAATAGCACCTCCTGGTGAGAGCAAAAAAATAAAAACCTGTAATTTCATGGTGTAACCACTAGATTCCTGTATAGGACTCTATAGAAAGGCTTGTGAATTCCCTAGTTGTGTTTATACATAATTGTTTACTTTTATTAAGTTGTGGATTTAAATGTATATTAAGGCATTCTCAAAT